GGACCTGGCCATCAGCCAGCACCAGACACACATCAAGAGGAGAGAGTTGCCCCTGAGGATGTCCTGGGTAGCAGCTGGAGGAGGGGGAGCTTGGAAGCCCATGGAAAGCCCAAGGGGAAGAGAGTGGGGTTACAGAGGGCAGGACCAGTATGGAAGCTCTGGGCCCCTCCTACCCTTCCCCCTTATCCCCCAGTCCCAAAAGAGGCAAAGCTGGCCATCTGGGAGGCAGGTGTTACCAATGGGCAGGGACAGGGACCAACAGGAGTGGGCTAGCTATGTAGAGGTGGGACCAGATTCAGGGGTGGGGTTAGAAGTGCAGAGGTGGGGCCAGGCTCAGAGGTGAGGCCAGAACCTCCTTCACCCCCACCTCCCACCCCCTACCCCCCACCCCCTCCCACCTGGGCAGGCCGGGCCTTCACCATGGCGGGAGCGAGACCGCAGCTGAAGAGGAGTTTCTCCATCATCCCCTGTTTTGTCTTCGTGGAGGTGAGGACACCAGGCCTCCCCCCAGAAACTGTCCCTTGCCTCTCCGGGGCGGGGCGGGGTGGGGGTGGGGTGGGGTGGGTGTTGGATGGCACTTCTGCCTTCCTGGCACTGTCTGGCCTGTCTCTCCACCTCAGTCTTCTGCATCCTTGCCTGGTCGTTCGTTGCCTGTACCCCTTTCTCCATCTCCCTGGCAGTTCTGGCTCTCCGTGACCCCACGCTCGCGCCTTGTCACTTTTGTTGTCCTTCCTCTTGAGAAGTGGGGGTGAGCTTGGTCTCAGAGGCTGGATTCCCTGGGGTCCAGTCCCTCCTTGCCTGGTCTTCACTGCTGATCTCTGGGCTCCCTGTATCCACACTCTCCCTGCTAAGATGTCCGAATCTGTAAAATGGGCATAAACCTTCTCTCCCATGACTGTTGTAAGGGGGAAATGGAAGGACTCTCCCCCCAGCCCACCCCCAATTTTCAAGTTCATTTATATTGTCCCAACAGTTTTATTGGAATAGAGTTCATATATCATACAATCAATAGATCGATCACATCAAAGAGAGATGTACAATCATCACCGCATCAGTTTTAGAATGTTTTCATTCTCATACTTATCATTATTAGCTCCCCATTTCTACCACCCCTCCCCCAAATGGGTAAATGCTTGAAAATGTCCAGGATGTCCAGTCCACAGCAAAGGTTCTGTCTCTGATGTTTCTATTACTAATTCTAATGCTTTTTTTTTTCTCTCTCTCAGTCTGTCCCTGCACCTCCCCACCCATCATCTCTCTCTCTGGCCTGACCCCAGGCCACACACTCCCCCATCTTATTTCCTCTGTCCCTCTTTCTGTCTGTGTCTCTAACTCCTTGTTTCCCCAAGCCCTGCTCTCTGCCCCTAATAGTCTAGACCCTTTCTCTACCTCCATCCCAGTGTCTCTCTCTGTGATCTCTCTGACTCCCAGTTTCTGCCTCTCTGTTCTCTCCAGCACTGTGTCTCTGGCTCCTTGCCTCGGCTCAGGCCCTGACCCTCTCTCTTCTCTCCCCGTGCCTCCACTCCCTGGCTGGCCGGCAGTCGGTGCTGCTGGGTGTCGTGATCCTGCTTGCTTACCGCTTGGAGTTCACAGACACCTTCCCCGTGCACACCCAGGGCTTCTTCTGCTACGACAGTACCTATGCCAAGCCCTATCCAGGGCCTGAGACTGCCAGCAGGGTGCCCCCTGCCCTCATCTATGCCTTGGTCACAGCTGGGCCCACCCTCACGGTGAGACCCTGGGGTGGCCTGGGGTGGGCTGCAGGGAGGACCCCACAGGAGACAGGAGGGCAGGGGGCAGAGAGGGCTGAGGGACCAGGAAGAGCCCACCTTGGTTTTGCCTGCAGATCCTGCTTGGGGAGCTGGCAAGGGCCTTTTTCCCTGCACCACCCTCCGCTGTCCCTGTTATTGGGGAGCGCACCATCGTGTCCGGGGCCTGTTGCCGCTTCAGCCCCCCGCTGCGGAGGCTTGTCCGCTTCCTGGGTGAGTGACAGTCTGGGCTCAGCCCTGCAGTAATGAGGGGGATGAGGGTAGAGCCAAAGGGCTCAGGACCACCCTCAGCCCACCGAACAGAATGGCTAGGATTGCCATGAGGCAGGCTTGGGCCCTGACCAGACATCTGGGAGGTTTCAGAGCTGTGAGTGGGGCCTAGTCTAGCCAGGAGAGCACCTGGGTCAGGAGGACCTGGGACTGTGTCTAGGAGGGTCAGGCAGAGGGGGCATAGGCTCAGGCCAACGCAATGGGGTAGCAAGCCAGCTCAGATTTCTCATGGTGCCAGCGGGACACCTGGTCATCCTAGAAGTGGCCCTGACACAGGGGCACACGCTCCATTGCAGCACGATGGTGCTGATGCCCCAGGGGAGGACTGCCACCCGACAGAGGTGACGGAGACACCGAGGCCTGATGTGCTGTAATGTGGCTTCAAGGGCAAGACACCCAGAGTGCCATCCCAGGGTGGGGGTGGGGTGGGGGGTGGGGTGTCCCAGGTGTGGTTTAACATTTGTCACAGGAACAGGGGGCAAGGGGCCCAGTGAGTCATACAAGGTTCTTAGGAGGTGGCCTTGCCACATCAGGGCCCCAGACTCCCTCTTCCACGTCCCCAGGGGTCTACGCCTTCGGTCTCTTCACCACGACCATCTTCGCCAACGCGGGACAGGTGGTCACTGGCAACCCCACACCGCATTTTCTGTCCGTCTGCCGCCCCAACTACACGGCCCTGGGCTGCCCGCCACCCTGGCCTGACCGGCCAGGGCCCGACCGCTTTGTCACTGACCAGGGCGCTTGTGCTGGCAGCCCCAGCCTTGTGGCTGCTGCGCGCCGAGCCTTCCCCTGCAAGGACGCGGCCCTCTGCGCTTACGCTGTCACCTATACCGCGGTGAGCCTGGGGGGGCTGCTGGCTCAGAAAGGGGGACAGGAGCCTGTGCAATGGGGCCAGGAAGCCACTTAGGGCACAAGCCGCAGCCTGGGTGTAGATTCTGACTCCTCCCCTCCGCTCCTAGCTGCCGCCCTTGGTGTCTGGCCACGCCCCCAGCCATGTGAGGCCACGCCCAAGAATGGCCTTTAGCCCCACCCTTTAGGAACTGAAAGGCCCTCTGGAGAGAGAGGGGCCGTCACCCCTTCCTGGCGCCCAACCATGACCCCCAAATGTTACAGGTCCCAAATACAGGCTGGGAGAATGGGTGGGTGGGCCCATTCTGGAGCTCTGGCCCCGCCCCCTGAGGGCTGTGACCCCGCCCTTTGTGCTGGCCACGCCCCTGACTCTTGCGAACCTCCCTGCTTTCCCTGGACTCTCAGGTCCCTTGTCGGAAACCCCGCCCCCTCCCCCATCCTCCAATTGTTCCTACTCCTGCCTGTAGCCCACTGGGACCCCTGACCCCACCCCCTCGAGCTCCTGGGGCCTTGACCCTCTGCTGTCCGTGGCCACATCCTAACTCGGCAAGTGGCTTTCCCCATTTGTGACTCCAATCTCAGGGGACAGTCTTCTAAACGGAACCCCCGGCCACAACCACCTTTGGGGCTCGGGCCACGCCCTCTAGCCCAGGAGACAGTGACCACTTGGACGTGGCGACAGCTTCTCCTAGACCGCAAGACCCCTGACCTGTCCTGCCCCACAGATGTACGTGACTCTCATATTCCGCGTGAAGGGCTCCCGCCTGGTCAAGCCCTCCCTCTGCCTGGCCCTGCTGTGTCCTGCCTTCCTCGTGGGCGTGGTCCGCGTGGCCGAGTACCGCAACCACTGGTCCGACGTGCTGGCCGGCTTCCTAACCGGGGCGGCCATTGCCACCTTCCTGGTGAGCCCCACACACCTCTCTCCTTTGGAGCCCCCTTCAGCTCCCTGGCCCAAGAGGCCAAAGGATCGCTTGATGGCTGGGGTGGGTGAGGAGCGGGTCGTGAGGAAACCTGTGTGACCTGTCCAGTGTCTGCATGCGCTCATCTGTGGAGTGGGGTGACAAGGTGGGTTTCTGAGCCTATCAGTCTTTAGGGGTACAGTTAGCGTCTTCTTTTTACTGAGGAGAGGCCATTGGTTTTGAGCCACCGACCTTGCGGTCAGCAACTCAATTCCTAGCCCGCAACACCTCCAGGCCTCCTTACCTGCCTCTGAGTGAGGTGGAAAGAACAGGGCGGGACCCATAGTGCCATCCGAGTGTTAGCTGTGGTTTGAACCCGTCTCAGTTTTCTGATCTGCAAAATGGGGATGCTGTTGACATAACTTCTGCTGGAGTGGCCTCGGTGCCAGCCCAGCCGCTCTCCCTCCGTCCCAGGTCACCTGTGTTGTGCACAACTTCCAGAGCCGACTGCCCTTGGGCAGGAGGCTCTCACGTTGGGAGGACCTGGGCCAGCCCCCCACCATGGACAGCCCCCTCGAAAAGTTAAGTGTGGCCCAGGTAAGGGGAGCCGGGGACTGCTCCGGCTGGAGAGGGTGGTGGGTGGAGGAAGACCAGGGGTGCAGGAAATCAGGCCACAGATGAGTGTCTCGGACCCAGGGGGAGGCGGAGGGCTCCCCACACCCTATAAACCTAAGCCCTGCCACCTGAAGGTCACTCGCCTCTCTCCTGTGAGGACTCTGGTGGTCTCTTCCTTGGGGCGCTCTGCCTGCTGAGCCCCTCGTGCTGTTGCCAGGGCCCAGGGGGCCTGCTAGCCCCTTCTCTCTGCCTCTCTGTCTCAGGAACCCGAAGCCTGCAGGCCGCATTCGACACCGGCACGGCTCACCCCATCCAGTGAGTGGGCGTGGGGGTAGGGTTGGAGGGGGAGACTGCAGATGGATGGGGCTGCCAGAGGGTTGTCCACTGCCTGTACCCTCGTGGCCTCCGCCCAAGCTTTCTGGACCCTCTGACCTCTGACTCCTGACCCTTCCAGAGCCGCAGAACTGCACCCGCCGTGGCCACCTGATCCCCAGCTGCGTGTCCTCCAGGGCTCCAGCCATGTGTTCATCACCCCGAGTTCCCCGCCCAAGATTGAGATCTGAGCCGACGCCCTTGCCGCTGCCCCTGCCCCTGCCCGCGCCCACCCCGAGCCAGGGGCCCTCACCCTCCTCCCCAGGTCCTGGAGGGCCAGGAGGGGGTGGTGGGGGTGGTGGCCGGGGCCGGAAGCTGCTGCTGCCCACCCCCCTCCTGCGGGACCTGTACACCCTCAGTGGACTCTACTCCTCCCCTTTTCACCGGGACAACTTCAGCCCTTACCTCTTTGCCAGCCGTGACCACCTGCTGTGAGGCCCTATTGCCCACCCACCCAGAACCTACCCGGCCCCCACGTCTTCCCTGCCACCAGTTTGTGTGCCTGTGTGTGAGTGCCAAAGCCCTCTGCCCGCAAACCAGCCAGGGCCAGATGCCAGAGGATGACCGGAAGGACATTGTGGAAGAGGGAGGTCTAGGAGGACCTGACTGGGAGGTGGGCCCCAGGCCCTGAGATGGCCCTTTTAAGGACTTCCACCTACCTGTCCCCTGGGGACCCCACCCCACCACCCCAGTTCTCAGAATTCTAAACAAAGGGAGTTTATTCCAGCTAATGAGAGCTTCCCCTTCACCTCTTAGAATCTTCAGGCAGGAGGGCAACTCCAGTCAGTGGCCAATGTCTGGACAGCCAATAGGAACCGTTGGTTTTCAGACTTTCCTGGGTGGGTGGGTATGATTCCAGCCAATGGGGGACCGCCCATGTCTAAGCAGGCGCCAAGGAAGGGGAGCGAGATGGGGCAGACCCTTGTCATCGGGTCCTCTGGCCTCAGAATCACAGAGTCGAGCCGAGGGTGGGGGGCAGGCTCCCCCAGGGCAGGGTCCTCGGGGCCCCCTTTCCCTCTCAGCCCCTCCTCCACATGCAACCTCTCACTGGTTCCCTTCGAATTCCCCATTTATTCAGGGCTTGCTCCCTTTGGGAAGTTTTGGGGTTTAGGGAGTGGTGTCTCCCCTTGCCTGTGCCCAGGTCACTGCCAACCCTCTGTTATTGATTAGGGAGGGCTGTGGGGAAAACTTTTTCTTGGAACTTGCCCCTGTTCTGCACACTGTACCCCCCACCCCCACCCCACCTCCCAGCCTCCTGCAGATGTGCCATTGCTGGGGGCGTGTGTGGAACGAGGGGCATTCCCCTACCCTGGGCAGCCAAAGGCAGGGGCAGAGGAGACACTGCCTCCTCTCCAGCCCCCCCCCCTCATCTTTAATAAAGACCTGTTTATAACAGAACCCTGTCCCCTCACTTGCCTGGCCCCCACAGTGGGGTGTGGAGGACATCCACCATGGGGCGTCCGTGAGACTGTTTCCAGTATGTCGGAGGGCGAGTATGGAGAGGCGGTGCGGGCTGTGGGGTCAGCCTCTGGTCTAAGTGGTGGCTGCGCTGTCTCCTGGTTGCGAGGCCTTAGGAAAGTTAGCCTCTGGGCCCCGTTCCCTCATCTATTGGGATGGACTGAGGCCTCACTGCGGGTGTTCCCAGAGCGGCTGGCCCGGTTATCCCAGAGCACAAGGACACAGAGTCCCAGGACCAGCGTGAAGAAAGCTTGGGGTGCTCACAAGGCTGGGGAATACTGAGAGGTCCAAGAAACCAGGTCACGGAGGAGAGCAGGGGTGTTGCTTGTGAGGTGTGCTGAGCTCACAACCCTAACAACTCAGCGTGGGCTGGGGAGCCACAGACCCCCGCGGTGTCTTAGGGGCCACAGACAAGCCATTCAGGGCATAGACCCACCCAACAACCAGGCAGGGCTGGTCTGCTTTCCTCCTCCCCTTACTTACATTCATCCAGTCATTCGTTCATCACACAGTCCTGGGGGGCCCATGGGTATTGAAATCCAGGAGCGGCAGCACTGAGTAGAGGAGACAGCCCCTGCCGGCTGTGGGGCTCACAGTCTAACCTAGGAGAAACCAGAAACAGGAGAAACAGTGATACACAGACCCCCAAGTCCACTTTACCAGAAGGTCTGAAGACCAGCCTTCCTTTGCCCTCCATTGGTGGCAACTCCTGGCCTGGACAGATGTGCCTGGAGTTTTTCCAGCTTTCCCTTGAACGTGACTTCTTATATTTCACTTCAGATAAATGGTTCAACTGGGGGACGTGGCTCCACCTCGGGTGATAAGCAACAGAGTGCTTGCACTAGGTGGGTTTGGGGCCCTGCGGCCCCGTGGGTAAAAGCACATGGTGGCTGCTCTGGGAAAGTGTAGCAGCAGCAGACCCTCCAAGGGAGAAAAATGTAGCAGTCGGCTCCGGTGTAGATGACACACTTGGGAACCCTAGGGAACCAGCTGTTTTCCTCTGTCTCATCTCACAGAGTTGGAATCAGCTCGCCAGCAATGACATTAAGCCTTTTGAGGATGAAGGTGAAATAAAATCTAAATTCCTAACTCTAGGCTCATCGATGTGACTAAGGGATTGGACATCTCTGAGAGGGTTTGATATTGCTCAGTGAGGAGGGGAGCATTTAAGTTATGAAAGAATGGGGCCAGTCGTGGGATGGGGACGTGGTTTTTCATGAAGAATGAGTCGTTAGGGAGGGCACCCTGGGTGTGTAGTGGGTTTCCCGTTGGGCTGTAAGGAGACCAGATGGCCAGTTGGGAACCACCAGCGTCTCCAGGGGAGACCGACGAGGCTTTCTGCTCCTGTGAAGAATCCCAGTTTCTGAAAGCCACAGGAGCAGTTCTACCCTGTCCTATCGGGTCACTGGGAGTCGGAGGTGCCCTTGGAGCTGTGCGGGGCGGGAGGAGAGAGCGCCCCAGGCTGAGGCAGGCACGTGTCTGCAGCGAGGAGGCCCCGGTGGCCAGCCACAGTGCAGTGAGGACAGGGCAGGGCAGGGCGCTGGCAGAATTGGCCCAGGGGAATGTGACGGAGCATGATCCGGTTGAGCACGAAGACTCCTGCTTGGTCCACCAAGGCTTTCGTTTCCAGGGCTCGCACCCCGCCGGAGCCCTCGGGTTCTCCTCCCACGCAGCTGCCTCCACTTGGGTGGTAGAAACTTCAAACTCGCGCCCTGGGCTTGGCGGACCTCACCTCCGGTTGGCCTCGTTGAGGCTGTCCATGGTGCTGATGTTGCGCGCAGGCAGAGGAAGCGTGAGCAGTAGCAGTGCGGGACTAGAGGACGCAAGGAGGTGTCTGGAGACGGCGGCATTGGCCTCGCCCACAGTGCCCACTCCAGGATTTGTCTTTTGGGTGGAGAGCACAGATTAGGCTCTGCATGCTTATTCAAAAGCCACCCCGTCTGTGCTGTGAGTCTCAGAGCATCTCAAAGCCAACTCAACCAAAAGCGAGGTCTGATTTGACATGAAGTCTGAGCAGGACTCAGCTCTGCTCAAAACTCCGATGGTTCCGACTCCTGGCAGGAGGAAACATTGCCCAGTCCTGTGCCATCCCCGGGGTTCTTGCTGTGCTTGAGACCATGGTTGCCGCCACGATGTCAATCCAACGTGTGGATGGATGGTCTCCCTCCTTTTTCCCCCCTGACCCTCTACTTATCCGGCATGGTGTCTTTCTCCAGCACTAGTCCCCCCCATAAAGATCGCAGCCTGGAACCCTGTCAGGCAGTTCTACTCTGTTCTGTAGGGTCACTACGGGCAGGAATAGACGATGGCAGCAGGCCTGGCTCGCTGTGTGCCAAATGCTGGTCTAGGGCTCAACGGAGCACAAGACAGGCAAGGATCTCTCCCCCTGGTGAAGCTGACGTTCTAGTGAGAGTTGGCAATATATATATCGTCAGAGGTGCTACGTTGTTTGGAGGGAAAGCAAACTAGATAAGCAGGTAGAAAGTGATGGGCATGCAAGTCTAGCCAGGTGGCCAGGCTAAACAGCCTCTTTGAACAGACGCCTGAATGGGGTAGGCATGGGGAAACAAAACCACAGGGATATCTCAAAGTCAAGCAAGGTCACATGAAGGACAGTAGGTCTGGTCGGGGCTGTCCACGGTGCTGAAAGGGAACAGTGGGGGCTGGTGGTCTCAAGGTGGTGTCTGGGGTCTTTGGTGGGATGGTGTTGTACTAATGGCGAGAGACTGTGTGATTGTGGGTGGCACTCCCGGGTGCTTGTGCACGTGGTGCTGCCCAGTGCAGTCAGCCATGGGCTGAGTATCTGTTTGGGGGACTGAACTGACATGTTTGACCGGGTAATGGGACAGTATGCCTCACAGCGTGTGTGTGTGTGTGTGTGTGTGTGTGTGTGTGTGTGTTGGCATACTGGTATCAGAGTGTGCTCTGTGAGTGCTGGCATGAGAGAAAGAGTGGGGTATGTGAAGAGTGAAGGTGGTAGACACTTTGGGTCCCAATGGGGGCAAAGGAATGGACTGAAGGATAAAGCTATTGGTGAAGAAGAGTTAGAGGTGGAGTACTTGCCGGCATGCCACAGTTGTATGTGTGTGTAGGTGTAGGTGTAGCTTGGGGGTGCCCAGCTGTGTGAGTGGGTGTATTGAAGAATGTTGTGGTGGTGTTTTCTGGGACCGGCGAAGAGTGAGAGAAAACCCAGGAAATCAGTTCCACCCTGCCCCTGGGTCTCCTGGCAACAGGACCACTTTGAAGTTACCAGGAGACAGAGTTGCCAGGGCAACGTGGGCATGAGTCGCAGCTCTGGGGCAAAGTCTGGGTGAGGAGACCCAGCCAGTGATCACTTGATCATTCTGTCTGCCCCAGTTTCTAATCAATTCTGCCTCCCAGCCTGCCTTCATTAGACACATATATAAGGTGGGCCTACATTATACTACGCTCCTTTCAGGGCTTTGGGGACACAGAGATGTATAAGGCAAACAAGGTCCCGGTCATGCCTCTATCTCGGTCTCCCAACCTGTCTCGTCTCTCCTGCCCCAGTCTTTGCTCTATGGCCCTGCCTTTCCCCAGACCCTAGTTTGTTGCTGTTAGGGCTTCTGACTCTGACTCACAGAGACCTGCCAGTCCTGCCCCATTCTCATCGTCACAAAGCCCATCGTGCTAATAATCCATCTTGTTGAGCGTCTCCCGCTTTTTTGCTACCCCTCTACTTTCCCAAGCATGATGTCCTTCTTTCAGGGACTGGTCCCTCCTGACCTGTCCAAAGTGCTTGAGACGACGTCTGGATGTTCTAAGGAGCATTCTGGCTGTGCTTTCTAACCCCCTCGACTAATGAGGCAGCCAATAGAGACCTTCAGAGAAGGCTATAGATGTTTTGCACATGGACTCTTTGAACCTGCAGCCCCACCGACAACGACACTGTGTGCAAGTACAGAGAGCAACAAACCATAGGTCCTAATACTTCATGTCCGTCTATCTTGGCTTGCCTCTGGATTTCATTCCAATTTAATTTTCTCTTCACCTCTCAGGTGTCATTGGGCAACATCAGCAGACACACACAGACACGTGACCCCACAATATTCTGCCGAGAGATTATGAACCCCATATTTAACAGCTGAGCAAACAGGGGCCAGGAGACTTTAAGGAACTGTGTTAGTGGCTTGGGCCTGCTCCCCCAAATTCTGACCCTTTATATATATATATGAACATCTGATTCGCTCACAGTCATTGTTTTCCTGCTGGCTCCCCCCAGGAAGAAGCTCATCTTTTCCAAATGACCCCATTCCTCAAACTAGGTTATTTGCCCCTACACCAGGGGAGGAGCATGGCAAAGGCCGCTCTAGATTGACAGACAGCTCCACCGGCCAACGGGGAGTCTAAGAGTACTGTAACCAACGAGGCATCCCCATGGGCGGGATTAAGGTCGGAACGGGCAGCCGATTGGTCAAAGGCACGTTGCGAATGGCGGAGACACTGAGGCGAGTGCTCAGCGCAGGCGGCGCGGCTGGGCCGGGCGAAGAGCACGGAGCCGAAGTCGGGCCTCCTGTGCTGCTGCTCGGCGGTCCTGGCTGTGGGAAGACGGCGCTGCTGTTCGCGGCTGCCTTGGACGTGGCGAGCGAGGGTCGGGGCCCCGTCCTCTTCCTGGCCCGGCGACCTCTGCAGAGGCTGCCTCTCCGGACGCGAGCGGCGTTCGACCCCCTACGGCTTCAGGTAATGGGGTGGGATTATAGGAGGGCTCGACCAATGGAGGGGTGGATGGCGGATTGAGTGACAGGAAGGGAGACCAATAGCGACGACAGAGGAGCCAGCAGGCACATTCAGCGTGAGGCGGAGTCGAGGAGAACGAGAGGCGGGACTATGAGCAGCCCTTCAATGATGGAGCGGAGTCAGCGAGAGGTGGGCTCTGCGGGGAGAGGGGAGCGGTGCTAAAATGGGGTCGCGTATAATTGGGAGCTGGTACGAATAGCACTGGAGGCAAGGATGGGGCAAGACTAGGGGGCGCAAGGGACAAGTTTTCTGTGACAAGGTTCCCCCTAGAGCGTAGATTCCCAAACTTATTTGGCCCTCCACCCACTTTTTGAAAAAAATTTTTTTTTTCCTCCACGCACCTGGCAATTGAATTTCTGTGCTATAGCCTAGCATCCAGGATAAAGTGTCTTACTGCTATGAGTCAATTCAGA